GCAGGTGTTGAGTTTGAAGTCTTCTTAAGACTATCTGTGGTCATGTTGGAAGAGGAATTTATTTCAAGATGTTTTTTCACTGCTATGGGGAGATACTGCAATAGGTCTGCAATATGTTTAAAATATGGAAGAAAAAAGTTAATACACCTTTTGTATGTAATATCTTTATTTTTGTATGTCGACACAAGTATCACCACCCTCTCTCAACATTATTTACAGTGCAACGTTGTACATGGCACACTTGGCCAATGTGAGAGTGTACATACAATTTTATATGTAGCTGGTCAAACCATCTCCCAACACAACATAAAAAGCACCAAATACAAATAAACAAACTACTGGTTTTAATATTACCATATTGTTGTGTCTTTTTCAATTCTACTACTTATTGATGAGAGTCGAGAGGCCAGTTTCTCTACCTTCTGTCTTTGAATGGAAGCTCTTACCCTGGTTCTGCCAACTACACATTAAATCAAATCAAATTGTATTTGTCACGCGCCGAATACAACAGGTGTAGACCTTAGTGAAATGCTTACTTACAAGCTATTTCCCAATGATGCAGAGTTAAATAAGAAAAGAAACAAAAACATGAGAAACAAAACGCACAAGAATGAAGCTACAGTATATAGGAGTACCAACACCATATCAATGTGCAGGTATATGTGGTAATTGAGGTAGATATGTACATGTAGGCAGTGGTAAAGTGACTAGGCATCAGGATATACACTCAGTGGCAAGTTTATTAGGTACACCCATCTAGTACCGTGTCGGACCCTATGCCTCCAGAACAGCCTGAATTCTTCGGGGGGGTGGGGATTCTACAAGGTGTGGCGTTCAAACGTTGCTCAATTGGTATCATTCCCCACACCATTGCACCACTGCCACCAGCCTGTACTGTTGACACCAGGCAGGATGGGGCCATGGACTCATGCTGCTTACGCCAAATCCTGACTGCCATCAGCATGACACAACAGGAACCGGGATTCGTCGGACTAGGCAATGTTTTTCTGTTTCCAATGTCTGTTGGAAAGCACACTGATCCAGGTTTTCCTCTAGGATTTTGCCTGTGCTTAGCTCTATTCTGTTTCTTTTTATATAAAAAAAATGACCTTGACGATGACAAGCATACCCATAACATGGTGCAGCCACCACCATGCTTGAAAATATGAAGAGTGGTATTCAGTGATGTGTTGTGTTGGATTTTCCCCTAACATAATGCTTTGTATTCAGGACATAAAGTTAATTTCTTTGCCACATGTTTTGCAGTTTTACTTTAGTGCCTTATTGTAAACAGGATGCATGTTTTGGCATATGTTTTACTCTGTACAGGCTTCCTTCTTTTCACTCTGTCATTTAGGTTAGTATTGCAGAGTAACTACAGTGTTGTTGATTCATCCTCAGTTTTCTCCTATCACAGCCATTAAACTCTGTAACTGTTTTAAAGTCACCATTGGCCTCATGGTGAAATCCATGAGTGGTTTCCTTCCTCTCCGGCAACTGAGTTAAGAAGGACGCATGTATCTTTGTAGTGACTGGGTGTATTGATACACCATCCAAAGTATAATTAATAACTGGTCTTTGTGGTTGAATCTGTGTTTGAAATTCACTGCTCGACTGAGGGACCTTACAGATACAGTGCCTTCAGAAAGTATTCAGACCCCTTGACTTTTTCCACATTTTGTTACGTTACAGCCTTATTCTAAAATTGATGAAATAAATACAAATCCCCAGCAATCTACACACAATACCCCATACTGAAAAAGAGAAAACAGTTCTTATTTTATTTTAACAAATGTATTTAAAAAATTTAACAGAAATACCTCACGACGCCAGGACAGCGGAGTCACTCACCACCTTCCGGAGACATTTGAAACCCCACCTCTTTAAGGAATACCTGGGATAGGATAAAGTAATCCTTCTACCCCTCCCTTACCCCAACCCACCCCCCCCCATTTTTTTTTTTTACAAAATATTAAAAAAAACACATTGTAAAGTGGTTATCCCACTGGCTATAAGGTGAATGCACCAATTTGTAAGTCGCTCTGGATAAGAGCGTCTGCTAAATGACGTAAATGTAAATGTACCTTATTTACATAAGTATTCAGACCCTTTGCTATGAGACTGGAAATTGAGCTCAGGTGCATCCTATTTCCATTGATCGTCCTTCTACAACTTGATTGGAGTCCACCTGTGGTAAATTCAATTGATTGGACATGATTTGGAAAGGCACACACATCTATATAAGGTCCCACAGTTGACAGTGCATGTCAGAGCAAAAAGCAAGCCATGAGGTCGAAGGAATTGTCCGTAGAGCTCTGAGACAGGATTGTGTCGAGGCACAGATCTGGGGAAGGGTACCAAAACATTTCTGCAGCATTGAAGGTCCCCAAGAACACAGTGGCCTCCATCATTCTTAAATGGAAGAAGTTTGGAACCACCAAGACTCTTCCTAGAGCTGGCCGCCCGGCCAATCTGAGCAATCGGGGGAGAAGGGCCTTGGTCACAGAGATTACCAAGAACCCGATGGTCACTCTGATAGAGCTCTAGAGTTCCTCTGTGGAGATGGGAGAAACTTCCAGAAGGACAACCATCTCTGTATCACTCCACCAATCAGGCCTTTATGGTAGAGTGGCCAGATGGAAGCCACTCCTCAGTAAAAGGCACATGACAGCCCGCTTGGAGTTTGCCAAAAGGCACCTAAAGACTCTCAGACCATGAGAAACAAGATTCTCTGGTCTGATGAAACCAAGATTGAACTCTTTGGCCTGAATGCCAAACGTCACGTCTGGAGGAAACCTGGGACCATCCCTATGGTGGAGCATGGTGGTGGCAGCATCATGCTGTGGGGATGTTTTTCAGCGGCAGGGAATGGAGCAAAGTACATAGAGATCCTTGATTTGGCTTCGGGACAAGTCTCTGAATGTCCTTGAGTGGCCCAGCCAGAGCCCGACTTGAACCTGATCGAACATCTCTGGAGAGACCTGAAAATAGCTGTGCAGCAACGCTCCCCATCCAACCTGACAGAACTTGAGAAGATCTGCAGAGAAGAATGGGAGCAACTCCCCAAATACAGGTGTGCAGAGCTTGTAGTGTCATACCCAAGACGACTCGATGTTGTTCTCGCTGCCAAAGGTGCTTCAACAAAGTACTGAGTAAAGGGTCTGAATACTTATGTAAATGTAAACGATTTCGAAAAACCTCTTTTTGCTTTGTCAATTTAATCAATTTTAGAATAAGGCTGTAACGTAACAATGTGGAAAAAGTCAAGAGTCTGAATACTTTCCGAAGGCACTGTAATTGTATATGTGGGGTACAGAGATGAGGTAGTCATTCAAAAGTCATGTTAACCACTATTATTGCATACAGTGTGTCCATGCAACTTATTGTGACTTGTTAAGCAAATTTTTATTACTGAACTTATTTAGGCTTGCCATAACAAAGGGGTTGAATACTAATTGACTCAAGACATTTCAGCTTTTCATTTGTAAAAATGTCTAAAAACATAATTCCACTTTGATATTGTGTGCAGGCCAGTGACACCAAATCTAAAATGTAATCAATTATAAATTCAGGCTGTAACACAACAAAATGTTGGGTCAAGGGGTGTGACTAGTTTCTGAAGGCACTGTATATTCTGATGCCGAGTCACCTTACCACTATACTGTACATACAGTATCTACTTCTATCCCTGCACATTGTAAATATGGTATTGGAACTGACCCTGTATAAAGCTTCTTACTGTTTCATGTTCTTATTTCTATTTCTTGTGTGTTTTTGTTCTACTGTATGTTAGTTTTAGTGCTTCATTGATATTGATAGCTGGGTTTGGAGCTTGCAAGAAAGGCATTTCACTGTACTTGTATGCACGTGACATAAAAAAAAGTATGTATATATATATACAGTATATATATTTTTTTTTACTTGATACAGATATTTGGGTTAAAGAAGTCCTCCAGGGATTTTTGAACTTTTCCTGTTGAAAAGCCATATCCCAAGTATAAATATCAATAACATGCCTCTTCTATATGGAGAACACATACAAGCAATCGACACAGTCCAGAAAAAAAACATGATCATGGATCTACCTGACAATCTGCATTAGTTCTCTGATAACAAGGAGCTATTTTGTAGATCAGTGATGTCACAGCTGGTCCCATGTTGAGTATTTGCCCAGATAACAGCACCTGGAAATGAGAGACTTATAGCTGACAAACATGTGAATGATTAGCCCCTCTAGTGATAAGACCTGCAGCACACCTTATCATTTGTAGTGGAGATGAGTGGTCCCAAAAAAAACTGTACAAACACATAAGGATGTATGATCTTATATGATACATATGAAGGTAGTTACAGAAATGTGTGTGTTCAATCAGTATTAATATTGTTCTTTCCATTGGAATATATGCTTGTCAGAATTTACACAAAAGAACCGTTGAAATTTCATAAAATCTCGCGAGACGACATTCACGACTTCTACTCCCAGAATGCTCTTCTCTACCTCTTCCCTTCCGCGGCCTGAGAAAGTAAGTGAACAGACTAGAAATGGGTCCGAAAATAAATGTAATCTCTTCAATATCTATGGCATCCTGACTCTTTAAATGTTTAACTTACATGTATTCCAACTACTACTAAGAAACGTCGGCCGTTATGCGTGTATCGGTGGATATTTTGACGAAAATATTGTCATATTGGTGATTTTCTTGACCCCATGTAGCACGCCGGTTTCCAGCCATTTTTAGCATTGCTAACAACAAAAAACATGTCCTACGAATTAATATTTATAGAAATGCAGTGTCGTATTGATGTAGTAGTTATGTGATTTACTCGTATTGGGTTGTTACTAAACCATAAACTTCGGTTAACGTGAGCTAACTAACACGTAGCGCATCCTCCAAGATGTCGGACTTATTTTCTCAAACAACCCACTGACGTGTTCGCCGATTAGGGCACCGGTGTGTTACAAACTAACAAACCACTTTATATTTTACAGATCTCTGAAAATGGTCCGCTATTCGCTCGACCCTGAGAACCCGACTAAGTGTGAGTAGCTACCGGGGGGTGATTGTCTCCCTGGCTTCTTTCATTGGCTAGGTCGCTAATGCATGCTAGGTACTATCCTTCTGGCAGCAGGATATTTTAAGTTCTACGTGCCTATATGCAATGGTTGTAATGATGACTTTCTTAGGACACCTTTGGATTACCCATGAAAATAAATATGAATGAGGCTGAGCAACCGCATGTACATTTACTTACATTTTAGTCATTTAGCAGACGTTCTTATCCAGAGCGACTTACAGTTAGTGAGTGCATACATTTTCAAACTGCCCCCCCGTGGGAAACGAACCCACAACCCTGGCGTTGCAAGCGCCATGCTCTACCAACTGAGCTACAGGGGACTTACCATTGTTTAATCACCATACTTTTGTCTTGTGACCTCACTGATTATTGCTGTACTTTTTCCTGCAGCATGCAAGTCGAGGGGCTCTAATCTCCGGGTCCACTTCAAGGTATGGCGTTGTCTTTTCAAACTGAGTGACATGAGAAGTTGATTTCAGTCCTGTTGTCTACTGTAGTTCAATCAATGTGGGAGTTGGTCAATATTGGTAGATATAAATGGGTACAGACTTAAAGGTGTGATGCTTTGCTATGATGACAACATTGGAGACCTTTGGAATCAAATGTGACAATATCTAACAAATAACTGAGCAATTTTGCATCTATGGCTATTGGACCAAACGTTATAACATGTTATTTATATATGTAGCTACTACAATATATTGATGGGTTTGTTGGTTTCCCATCAGAACACCCGTGAGACAGCTCAGGCCATCAAAGGCATGCACATCCGGAAGGCCACCAAGTACCTGAAGGATGTTACCGTCAAGCACCAGTGTGTTCCCTTCCGCCGCTACAATGGGGGTGTCGGCAGGTGTGCCCAGGTGAGCTCCACATCAGTTATAGTTGCCCTAGCATCTATTGAAATGCCTATAGGGGACTCGGCTTGGTATCTTCATGAGAATTTTAACTCTTTCCTATATTTCCCATGTAAAAGTAGTGGAATTTGAAGTTACAAAAAAAGTGTGCTTTGGAGACTGGTACAAAATGGCTTACAATATTTCTGCCATCAGAAATTGTGAAAAGGTATTATCAGACCTTGCACATAGTCATGTTTTTTTAATGTGCCTGAATGAAATGGTTGCAGTGATGACTTTCTTAGGACACCTTTGGATTACCCATGAAAAGAAACATGAACGAGGCTGAGCAACCACACATTTGCACTTGTCTACCTTAATATGTCCCAATGTGGACCAGAAATTGGGGTATTTCTTCTGGCCCAGTCTGGTATGCACAACTGACAACCATTCCTCTGCAGGCCAAGCAGTTTGACTGGACACAGGGACGCTGGCCCAAGAAGAGTGCAGAGTTCCTTCTCCACATGCTGAAGAACGCTGAGAGCAACGCTGAGCTTAAGGTAATGTTGGTTTATTTGCTAGGCCTGTGTTTTATTGTGGCATGCCTGTAGTGGAGAGTAGTGAATTTTTTTATGGCTTTCTCTTGTCCCTCTGCAGCAGACCATATGGTGAGCAATGTGTTTGGACCGTGGAATCTCAATAAAATCAGTATTCAATCTCAATGCATATAGAATCGCAATATACATGTCGTATCGGCACCTAAGTATAGTGATAATATCGTATCGTGAAGTCCCTGGCACTTCCTAACCCTAGTGGAGAGATGGGTGAGAAGTATGATGCTATCAAGCTTGTAGCAAAGACTGCATGTTTGGGATTTATTTTATTTGGGTTCAAGCTGTGTAACGCACACAATTCATGATTGCAATGACCGTTAACCATGAAAATGATATTGGAACGGAGTCATGATGCTTGCTGACCAGTTTGGTCTTTGCTCTGTTCTGACAGGGTCTGGATGTAGACTCCCTGGTGATCGAGCACATCCAAGTGAACAAGGCCCCCAAGATGCGCAGACGCACATACCGTGCCCACGGTCGCATCAACCCCTACATGAGCTCGCCATGCCACATTGAGATGATCCTCACAGAGAAGGAGCAGATTGTTCCCAAACCAGAGGAGGAGGTCGCCACTAAGAAAAAGGTACACATGTGCCAAAGCCTTTTAAACAGAATCTGCTTAGTGTCTTTCTGATATTTACTCTTCCACATATTTCCCATGTAAAAGCAGCGTGATTTAGAAGGAACAAGAGCTCTGTAGATGGGATCAAAATGGTTTACTGTCCTTCTGGCATCATAAATCGGGAAGTCTAATCAGACCTTACCCTTAAGTTTTTTATACATTCCTGTATGAAATGGTTGCAATGATGACTTTCTTAGGACACCTTTGGATTACCCATGAAAATAAACGTGAATGAGGCTGAGCAACCACACATTTGCACTTATGTCTGTCATTCTGTCCCTATGTGGGTATTATCAGAATTGGTATGGTATATGTTGGTCTGATGACATTCTTTGTCCTGCAGGTTTCTCAGAAGAAGCTGAAGAAGCAGAAACTCATGGCACGGGAGTAAATGTAAATAAAATGGAACCATTCTTACCAAAACTGAAAGTCTCACGGTTCATTACTTCAATTGTATTTGGAAATTCCCTACTGCTCATGTAAAATGTTTTAATCCAATATTCCATATCGAGGAAAAGGGTTCCAAACCAACCCACATAATAAATGGACAGTCATGTAGCTTAGTGGCAATGCTGTTCAAAGTTGCAGGTTGTTACTTACTGAAATGTCACACGCAGACCTGAAAATATTGCAGCCTTAAGAGAGATTAAGCCATTTTTAAAAATCTATTACAATCACAGCATGTATGTACATGGTGAAATCAAGCACTTGGCACTAGTGACTAATGCCGTCTTATTCATAGGAGGGGCAGACGGATATCTAAAAATGGCAGGGATGGAGTCCATAATAGGCATATGTGCCATGTTGTCTGAGGATTTCAGGAACCCCCCCCAAGCTTTTGACCAGGGCCATGCACATGAACAGACAATTAATTGGACTTGGAAATATCTCCACTTGGTGGTGCCAATGTCCAGATTTGAGCCCTACACAGGATGTAGGCCTCTACAGGATTATCATGGCAACATTTTAGTACTCCTATTCGAATAAAGTCACCTGAGTAACATGAATGCATTTGGTCTCAAATTAGTTTTCAATGCAGGGCCCCGTGTAGCTCAGTTGGTAGAGCATGGTGCTTGCAACGCCAGGGTTGTGGATTCGATTCCCACGGGGGGCCAGTATGAAAATATATGCACTCACTAACTGTAAATCGCTCTGGATAAGAGCATCTGCTAAATGACTAAAATGTAAATGTCCACTAATCTGTAATGGGTAGTTGAATGCTAGTTACAAATTGCCTAGTCAAGGCGCCAACAGAGGGCAGGGGTAGCCTACTTTTTATATATATATATATATATATATTGGTCATTTTAGCAGACGCTCTTATCCAGAGCGACTTGCATACATTTGAGTGCATACATTTTCATACTGGCCTCTGAAATCTGAGCACGGAGTTCTGGTCTGCTTCCAGTACGAAAAAACATTGTGCGACGTTCAATTAAACGGAAACGATGCTGTTCTGAACGACCAGTTGAAAAACGGGAAGGGGTTGTTGGTTGGGGACGGTGCCTGTCAGCGTCTTCATGACCGCTGCCCTTTAAATACGTCATTAATTGATTCAAGCCACACCCACCAAACGGCGCAACTGTACCTCAGTATGGGCTGTAGACCTAATTATTAGTCCAAACGTATCGTTTTGCAAATTATTGGACAAATTCAAGTAAGTCCCTCCCTGTTTCGTTCGCTTCCGCTTAAGAAGCTTTTTCCAACAGAATCGGCGGAATGAATATACCCCTGTCCAATAACGAATATTTTAGGGGAACGTGTCATACAGTACAAACCGTTACGCTGCGCAACGTGCAAATGGAGCAGTTTATCCTCCCCTATATCCCAGATTATAATTAAACATGAAGTGGATAGCTAATAACATGCCTACAGTTTACCCTCACTTGTTGGGACAGATCACCAGCCTTAGATATGCAGTTTCAGGAACTTTTCTTCGTCCTGTAAACATTTGATGGCAACACAGGAATTTTTACAGCGCACAGGGCTGCCGGCCTGAATGTTGTGGGTTCGCAGACCACGGTGGACAAGAGTAGGGGTGGAAAGAACTCCTTTATAGTAAAAGCATTGCATGAAGCTATCATGGTGTTTGCAGGTCCGATAAAAAAATAGCCTTTTTTTAATAATGTCATGCAATTCTACGTAATTTAACATATTAGCAGAATATTTTTTTATACCACACAAATTACCGAAATTACAGGATAATTATCATATTGTTCATCTTATCATATTTCTCTAATGCCAAATCAGTGTGTCTTGTTTGCAACGAAACTGTCCCTGTTTGCAAATAATTAAATCTGAGACTTCATTAGGAATCTGAGCATTGTAGGCTACTTTCAAAAGTTAGGCATACATTTCCACCCCATACAGAGTAGGACTATGGACGCAAAAATCTGTTGCTTAACCCCACAAGAGAAGGTCACAAGTGTTTCCCCAAAAGCTGTCTGACTTTAAACATCTATTGTACAGAAAGTGAATTGCTTAATCAATTGATAGTCAAAAAATTCTACAGCTGCACCATCGAGAGCATCCTGACTGGTTGCATCACCGCCTGGTATGGCAACTGCTTGGCCTCCGACCGCAAGGCACTACAGAGGGTAGTGCGTACGGCCCAGTACATCACTGGGGCCAAGCTTCCTGCCATCCAGGACCTCTATAGGAAGGCCCTCAAAATTGTCAAAGACTCCAGCCACCCTAGTCATAGACTGTTCTCTCTGCTACCGCACGCAAGCGGTACCGGAGTGCCAAGTCTAGGTCCAAAAGACTTCTCAACAGCTTCTACCCCCAAGCCATAAGACTCCTGAACAGCTAATCATGGCTACCCGGACTATTTGCACTGCCCCCCCACCCCATCCTTTTTACGCTGCTGCTACTCTGTTAATTATTTATGCATAGTCACTTTAACTCTACCCACATGTACATATTACCTCAACTAGCCGGTGCCCCCGCACATTGACTCTGCAACGGTACCCCCCTGTATATATAGCCTCCCTACTGTCACTTTATTTTACTTCTGCTCTTTTTTTCTCAACACTTTTTTTGTTGTTGTTTTATTTTTACTTTTTTTGTTAAAAATAAATGCACTGTTGGTTAAGGGCTGTAAGTAAGCATTTCACTGTAATGTCTGCACCTGTTGTATTCGGCGCATGTGACCAATAAAATTTGATTTGATTTGATTTGACATAATTAGATTAATTCCCAAGCAAAATCCATTTTTGGTCTCCTAAACTATATAAGGTTGTAGCTCAGCCTCTGAATGTCAAAGAAACAAAACAATATACAGTGCATTTGGAGAGTATTCAGACCCCTTGACTTTTTCCTCATTGTTACTTTACAGCCTTATTCTAAACTGGATTAAATTGTTTTTATTCCCTCATCAATCTACACACACAACCCCATAATGATAAAGTTTTTTTAGACATTTCTGAAAGTATTCAGACCCTTTACTCAGTACTTTGTTGAAGCACCTTTTGCAGCGATTATAGCCTGGAGTCTTCTTGGGTATGACCCTACAAGCTTGTCACACCTGTATTTGGGGAGTTTCTCCCATTCTTCTCTGCGGATCCTCTCAAGATCTTTTAGGTTGGATGGGGAGTGTCGCTGCACAGCTATTTTCAGGTCTCTTCAGAGATGTTCGATCGGGTTCAAGTCCGGGCTCTGGCTGGGCCACTCAAGGACATTCAGAGACTTGTCCCGAAGCCACTCCTGTGTTGTATTGGCTGTGTGCTTAGGGTCGTTGTCCTGTTGGAAGGTGAACCTTTGCCCCAGTTTGAGGTCTTAAGCGCTCTGGAGCAGGTTTTCATCAAGGATCTCTCTGTACTTTGCTCCGTTCATCTTTCTCTCGAACCTGACTAGTCTCCCAGTTCCTGCCGCTGAAAAACATCCAGGTTTCCTCCAGACGTGACGCTTGGCATTCAGGCCAAATAGTTCAATCTTGGTTTCATCAGACCAGAGAATCTTGTTTATCATGGTCTAAGAGTCTTTTATGTGCCTTTTGGCAAACTCCAAGAGGGCTGTCATGTGCCTTTTACTGAGGAGTGGCTTCTGTCTGGCCACTACCATAAAGGCCTGTTGGTGGAGTGCTGCAGAGATGGTTGTCCTTCTGGAAGGTTCTACCATCTCTACAGAGGAGCTCTGTCAGAGTTCTTGGTCATCTCCCTGACCAAGGCCCTTCTCCCCCGATTGCTCAGCTTGGCCAGGCGGCCAGCTCTAGGAAGAGTCTTGGTTGGTTCCAAACTTCTTCCATTTAAGAATGATGGAGGCCACTGTGTTCTTGGGGACCTTCAATGCTGCAGACATTTTTTGGTACCCTTTTCCAGATCTGTACCTCAACACAATCCTGTCTTGGAGCCCTACGGACAATTCCTTCGACCTCATGGCTTGCTTTTTGCTCTGACATGCACTGTCAACTGTGGGACCTTATATAGATGTGTGTGCCTTTCCAATTCATGTCCAATCAATTGAATTTACCACAGGTAGACTCCAATCAAGTTGTAGAAGGATGATCAATATAAATAGGATGCACCTGAGCTCAATTTCCAGTCTCATAGCAAAGGGTCTGAATACTTAGGTAAATAAGGTATTTCTGTTTTTTTTATTTGTAATACATTTGCTAAAATTTCTAAAAACCTGTTTTCACTTTGTAATTATTACATTTTTTTTAACATTTATGGGGAATTGTGTGTAGATTGATGAGGGGAAAAAATGTAATTTATTTAATTTTAGAATAAGGCTGTAACTTAACAAAATGTGGAAAAGGGAAGGGGTCTGAATACTTTCCGAATGCACTGTATATTCATCGGAGTCACGTCTTTCCCGGGTATTTTACAGCAAGCATAAAGCATTGCGGACATGTTATAGATCACTTTATATATTTTTGCCATTTCCTTTAATAATAGGTAGGGCTATGGCATACAAACCCTTTCATACCCCCTCAATTCGATTGTTGGATATAACCTAATAGCCCTTCACTGACTCGGAGGGTGGAGAAATTGACTGACAAATCTATGCATATAGCCGCCTATAGTCTTAACTTCGTCTTTCAAACAGGTAGGCCTACCTCTTATTTCTTAAATAGGAAGAAATCGGCTCCAACACAAAGCCCTCTTGTTGTTAGTAAAGTCTAATTAAAATGAAGACTGTTTAAATGAATTATGCCTATTCAAATGTACCTAATTTCAGCACCATGAGCTGTCAATCTCCGATTGATTGTGCCGAGGCTGCTGCTTCAAGTTTCAGAACCACAATGTAAGTTACTCGAATCTGGCTTACTGTGAGGTCAATAACTCTGATAAATACATCATGGGCAAGACACATATTATTTTTTATCAAATTAATTATAGTAGCAAACTATCAAAGTTGACCGCCGGTCCTCCTTCCCATCTTCGCGCTCTCCTTCTCAAACTGAACTGAACATAGGCTATAGCAGGGGTATTTAACTCTAAGGTCCGGAACCTGCAGGTTTTCTGTTCTACCTGATAATTAATTGCAACCACCTAAATCTGTCCCTGATTAGAGGGGAACAATGGAAAAACGCAGTGGAACTGGCTTCGATGTTCAGAGTTGAGTTTGAAGGGGCTATCTGCCAGCGCACCGTTTTCGGAAGAAGCCTTTACTTTACTCCTGAACTGTCACGGTATGCCTACACAGCACAGCCGTTGGTTAGGCAACGTTTTTGATCAGCAAGAACAGAGCAGTCTGGGGCTCAGGGTTGGAATATCCATTGCAGTGTGTAATGCAGCCTAGTTTTATTTACACCATCCCAGCAGCTATTTTACAAATATTACTTTGCTCTGTGCTTCTCCGAGCATGCACTTTGTAGCCTATATAGGCTATGGATGATTTGATTGAGATCACATCGCTATATATAGCCTAATAAGCAACTAATTCAAAAAATTAGAAATATTGAAATGTCATCAAGTACAAATTACATGACTCTCCACTGGACTAGATAAAAAAAATATTAAACCCTCCCCTTGACTGAAATTGAAAAAGCATGACCCACCCCCATTTTCCTCCAGGTAACCATTCTGTACATTTCGATCCATCCCTAAGAAGAAACAAATATGTATAATCAGTAGAGGTCTAGATTTGAGAAAATGTAATGTAATTGCTAGAAAATATTGGTGAAATGCAGCGTTACATTAACTGCAGTATTAGAGTCTACCACAGGGTGTCACTGGTGTCTTGCAATCCTTGAGTCGTTCTAGTTTAGGAATAGCGTGCAATGTAGCCTAGACCTACTGAAACAGTGATGATACATATAACTTTTTTTCCGATGCAGAAGAATATTGACATCCGTTGTTAAAGACTTAAGTCTTCAATAGCCAATTTATTTAACGATTTTGTCACTCAATTGATAGGTATAGGCTGTCTGGGCATAGGCTATGCTGGAATTAAAATCAATACCAGACCGTTACCAATTAGCATTTGATGATTATATTGCTTTTGAAAAAATATCCCAATAAAGAAATGTACAATTCTGTTGAGGATGTGATACAGAGACAAAAATAACTCATATGTATGTATATTCGAATAGTGAAAGTCTTGTGTTCTCAATATTGATCTAATTATGCTACAAAATCACACACGTGCGCGCTACATTTTCATCCAGGAGGACATAAACGACAACGTCAGGCCTACTATTTGGCCTTGTTGAACGGATAATAGATCATGGAGTATTAGCCATATTTAGGTCTATCTATGGCTTAATGCTGTGCCATATATTTAGATACATGGCTAAATGCATATCTCAATCAGCTAGCTATACAGCCTCTTTAGCCTACAATTCATATGAATGGATATGGATAGATAAGCTATATTTGGATCTAGTAGCCTATGTCACATGATGAGCACATGCAGATGTCCCTTTATCTAAAAAAATAGATTTTGGATTGATTCGGTTCCTTTTGTGTTTAATAGCGGGTCGCATTGCAACTATTTTAATGTGCAAATCAAAGCTATGATGGAGAGCCAATGAGGACACACTCCTAAATCCTGTTGGCTCTTTCACTTGACACACTGGCTACGTCATCGTCGGATTACCCAATCGCAACAGAAACACCATCTACTTTCTGTTTACTCTCAAAGTTTTTACTTTTGCGCAAAAGACATCGGAAAGTGATGATAATGTTTTATTATCTCAAAGATCGTCTTATGCATCGGAAAGGAAGGGTGGCTTTTTATCAATAGATTTCAAACATTCAACAATATCAACTTCTCTAAAGCAGTCTGCCCAAGTCAGCGAGGCAACTTCGGAAATTCATCCTATTTGAACGACTTTATCCTCAAGATTTGCAAGGTTGAAGAAGCGGAGTAATCCCTGTAATAATGGCTTTTGAATCCCGGCGAAATTAATCTGGGATTTCATTTTTCCATGGTTTCGTTTTAAAAGAGGACATTTTCATTTTAGACAGACAATTTTTCAGGCGTGCACATTTTGAAGAGTTGGGCTAATATTGGCCTACCCCAAAGGAAACGTGTATTGTTTTGCCTGTTTGTCTATGAGCAAAACTTTGCATTATTAGGCGACTTGAGACTGTGAGCATTGAGGATATTTTTTGACAAAACCATCACATTTACCTATTCTCGGTTATGTTAGCCGTGGGGCAGATGGACGGGTCCCGACAGAGCGCTTTCCTCCTAAGCACCGCACCTTTAGCGGCTCTGCATAGCATGACGGAGATGAAGACCCCACTCTACCCAGCCTACCCTTTATCTTCCACGGGTCCGGACTCTTCTACCTCACCTATTGCCACCTCTCCAAACCCCGGTGGCATCCCGATGTCCTCACCGGGGATCAAAACATCCTCCGGAATGTCATCTCTCGGATCGCTCCATCAATGCAGTGCGCTAGGCACACCTCATGGAATAAACGACATCCTCAGTCGTCCTTCGGTCCTTGCCCCAGGAGCTGCTGCTGCCGTTGCTGCGTCCTCTTCTGCCGGCATCTTGTCCGGACTGCCCCGCTTCAGTAGCTTGAGCCCCCCGCAACCCTCTGGACTCTACTTCAGCCCCAGTGCTGTGGCAGTGGCTCGCTACCCCAAGCCCTTGACAGACCTTCCAGGCAGGACCCCGATATTCTGGCCAGGAGTCATGCAAAGCCCACATTGGAGAGACGCCAGATTCGCATGTTCACCACGTAAGTAACTAGTCCACGTTTTTGAGCTATCTGAACTTCAATTTAACGTATTTTGATGCATGATGTAGGCCTATAGGCTGAAGGGGTTATTAATAATTCCACAGTAGCCTATGATATTTCATTCTATAAACTGAAACAGATCTGACTTGAATGTCTAGCTGCAATGTGCATTGTAATGGACTAACAAAGGCTTATTTTATAACAGCTCAAATTAAGTTGATTGTGATATTATTTGAGAATAGCCTAACAGTAGGCCCATCCCAACATCAAATAAATGTTAATAGCCTAATATTGGCATATTCTATCAATACATAACAATAGGCTACATTTCGTTTAATGGATTAGAAGCTTTATGTTTTACATTTTCAGATCAAAATTCTATACTGCTCGACAAAGACGGAAAAAGAAAGCATACACGTCCCACCTTCTCTGGACAGCAAATATTTGCCCTAGAAAAGACTTTCGAACAAACGAAATATCTGGCTGGACCAGAGCGAGCACGACTGGCCTACTCGTTGGGAATGACAGAGAGCCAAGTGAAGGTAAGACATATTCTGAAATAATCTTTATAAAGTCCAATAAGATGCATAATCTTGTTTAATAAGTAGCATAGCCTATTCTACTCAATTAGACATTTTCTCACGTTTTCCATTAAAGTGCCTCATGCATTTTAGACTAATGTTTTGTCTTTCGTTTCAATATTTATAAATTGATAGATATAGCCTACACTTTGAGTCGAATAACAGTGGTCAAACTAATCTAAATTACTGTCTATTGCATTTAATAATACATATTTAAAGATCATTCCCAAAAAAAATTTGGTCCTATTCACAACTATAAATATTTCTAAAATATTAGTATGTATATCTAATAAATTAATAATACATTACACTATAATTTAACCAAACAATTTGTTAATTAATGTAATGTAAATGTGGAAATAATGGTAGCAACGTTTTGCACAGCAGCATATTTGCCAACAACATGGAAGGAAGAAAATTAAACCTATATTTTCTCTTTAGAAAAATCAATTTTTCTGAATGTATGATTAGAATGAAATATAACCTATTATTATGTGTTGACTTCACGTTACCTATGCGTATGCCCTTTTAATTTGGCATATTAGCAGTGTTTGTAGGCCAAGGCTACATAAATAATGTCTGGTTGTTAATCAATATCTTTGCAATAGAGTAATGAGTAATCATATTATTTGTTGATTGCATGTAATCAACGAATATTAACCTTTTAGGTGTGGTTTCAAAACCGAAGAACAAAATGGAGAAAACGCCACGCGGCTGAGATGGCTTCGGCAAAGAAGAAGCAGGATTCGGAGACCGAGAGGCTGAACGGGGCCTCGGAGAATGAAGACGATGATGATGATTATAACAAGCCGTTGGACCCTAACTCAGACGACGAGAAAATAACACAATTACTGAAAAAACACAAACCAAACTTCTCACTCCTTATTAATACATCAGAAAATGACAGTTCGTAGACAACACGGTGAAAAAATACTTTTGATGCAACATTTCATCGTGGAACTGGTGCAGGTTATGTCCCTTTTTTTCATCCCAAATGTTAAATGAATAAGTTTGCAAGAGGACGGAGGACGCGTCAGATCAAAGGAATAGACGCAATTGTGAAGTCTGGAACAGTGGCCAAAACATGGACGCAATTTATAGAAGTTTGATCATTAAGATGTTACTTACATGTAAATAGAAACTTGAGTTGTATTCAACAGGAATGCTATTACTGTGAATATTTATGTGTAAAAAACTTTTTTTGTATAGAAAGCACTGCTGAGTCTCTTCCTCTTAGTTGTTCTGACGTCTGACATCGTTACAGCTTTGTCAATTGCAAAAAGCATAGCCTATATTTTCATATTTGGTTTAGTTTTTGAAACTTGACATATACATTGCATTTCATAGTGAAGTAATAAGATCCACCTGTATATAGGGCCCAATTTTCAATCATTATGGCCTCCAAAAAAATATCAGAACAAGCTTAACAGGCAACCCTATTGGGTCTGTGGACTATAATAATCTTTTTTTTTTGTATATAAATTGAAATGAAATTAGCCACATATTTTAAGTGTAAATAATACTGGTTGTGACGCAATTGAAGTACATCTGTAAAATAAATGCATATTGTGTGTTTCTCTAATGGTAAAATGGTTTCCCCTCACACTTTACTTAATTTATATAATGTTTAAAGTTTGTAACAGTGATTGAATCCTGCAAAAATGTGTATCGCGGGTTTATATGTAATGCACTTTTATTTAATAAAAGGTAAAATTAACGTTGCTTTACTCTGGATATACATAAAACAATTAAATGGCAGGAATCACCTAATGGAGCACATAAAGGAAGAAGCATAGGGGGAGGCTCAAGTATTGAATTTCGTTTTATTTTATCTACCTATCAATTTCTATTTGTGTACATTAACGAAAGACATCTGAATGTATAATATTAATATATACATATATTATATTTGGAGATATTATGGTTATTATTAATCTTAATTTAGGGGTTATCTTTCTTAGCAAGGCGACGTAAAGTGGTTTTCTATTTGTTTATGTAAACATTTCATATGTATGAATTGTGATTATGATGATGATGATAATTATGATTATTATTGATGATGATTACCTTATGCCACTATTCCTTCCAAGACATGCGACGATATAGGAACATCTATTGTTGCCTGTAACCAAGCAATGATAATAATAATAATAATAATAATAATGATTATTATTTATAATGATTATTATTTATAATAAAACAATAATAGTATCCACTCGCCAGTGCTTTTATAAAAAATATTCTGCCCTCTTTCCCTAGATTACTGAATCACAAAATAGATTTTTGATATTTCGAATCGAATAAGTAAGCCTTGCCCACAGAGGGTCTGACTAGTAGCCTATTGACTTGCATTCACAGCATCGCATGACGTCGATATTAATGAATTATAATTGTGTATCTGGCTGAAATTGTTTCTTGTGCGATGGGGTGAAGATATAGTCGATGGGCAGAATATGTTTCAACAGTCACCGATAAAACATGGCTTGAAAAGTTCATAATTAATTTATCTGGCAAGGAATCTAGAAAATTCACTCTGCGGTGTCTGTGCGTCTACAGATTCGCATGATTACATCACCATGTTCTTTTAAAATTGGAAATCGCTCAACCGATCTACACCCAGTTCTAGTAAATATTTAATTGATCAGATGTGGATCGAAGATGCAGCATTCACCAAGAATGGGAGACTCACTGTTGGTAAATGCTGGATTTAAGACTTTATTGAGCAGAGTCTGTGAATAGTGTCATCAAAATGTAGTCTTTATGATAGGTCTAGAGACAAATGCTAATTTCTAAATGTAATCTCAATTGTATTGTACATTTGTAATATAGTAGGCCTAATAGCAGGCCTACATATATACAATGACAATTTTGAGAGAAAAAATGTCAGTTCAGGAAACTGAAAGAATACAACGATCTCTCAGTTAGTTAGATATGATTTCGAATGCATAAATTGTTAGTTGCTCCGATGTAATATCTGCTACCAGACAGAAGGACCTGTATCTTATGGATGAAACACTACTGAGGGCAGTCACGCAGTAAAAGGTTTGTAGACTTGAAAGGTAGGCCTATGCGCGTCAGTAGAGGCTGCTATTTGTGTAATCTCTTGGTATTCCTAATAGGCTACTTGAAGCAAAATGGCAGATCAAAATTAATGTATTGAAATCCTGCAGTTAGTTGTGCTACATCTTCAAGAGAAAGTGGACAGAGTGACAACTTGGTAAGCCAAACTACACTGCCACCACATTTGTAACACTATGTTGATTGATACAAGTAGTGTGCAGTGATGAAAAACAAAAGCCGACAAACGAGAAATATGATTGTGGCATATTTTAGAACATATTTTAGAATTGAACTCCTGTGTATATTTGATGCCATTTATAAACAGCACTAGGGCATAACAGGAATGCAGTAGTTCCAACCCTCATGTTGCAGTGTCACGCATGCGCCTCTTCTTCAGGTTTTATATATATATATATATATACATTTATATATATACATTTATATATACACTACCATTCAAAAGTTTGGGGTCACTTAGAAATTTCCTTGTTTTCGAAAGAAAAGCAATTTTTTTGTCAGTTACAATAACATCAAATTGATCAGAAATACAGTGTAGACATTGTTAATGTTGTAAGTGGCTATTGTAGCTGGAAACGGCTGATTTTTAATGTAATATCTACATAGGCGTACAGAGGCCCATTATCAGCAACCATCAGTCCTGTGTTCCAATGGCATGTTGTGTTTGCTAATCCAAGTTTATCATTTTAAAAGACTAATTGATCATTAGAAAACCCTTTTGCAATTATGTTAGCACAGCTGAAAACTGTTGTGCTGATTAAAGAATCAATAAAACTGGCCTTCTTGAGACTAGTTGAGTATCTGGAGCATCAGCAATTGTGGGTTCGATTCCAGGCTCAAAATGGCCAGAAACAAATAACTTTCTTCTGCAACTCGTCAGTCTATTCTTGTTCTGAGAAATGAAGGCTATTCCATGCGAGAAATTGCCAAGAAACTGAAGATCTCGTACAACGCTGTGTACTACTCCCTTCACAGAACAACGCAAACTGGCTCTAACCAGAATAGAAAGAGGAGTGGGAGGCCCCGGTGCACAACTGAGCCAGAGGACAAATACATTAGCGTGTCTAGTTTGAGAAACAGATGCCTCACAGGTCCTCAACTGGCAGCTTCATTAAATAGTACCCGCAAAACACCAGTCTCAACGTCAACAGTGAAGAGGCGACTGCGGGATGCTGACCTTCTAGACAGAGTTGCAAAGAAAAAGCCATATCTCAGACTGGCCAATAAAAAGAAAAGATTAAGATGGGCAAAAGAACACAGACACTGGACAGAGGAAGATTGGAAGAAAGTGTTATGGACAGACGAATCGAAGTTTGAAGTGTTCGGATCACAAAGAAGAACATTTGTGAGACGCAGACCAAATGAAAAGATGCTGGAGGAGTGCTTGATGCCATCTATCAACCATGGTGGAGGCAATGTGATGGTCTGGGGGTGCTTTGGTGGTGGTAAAGTGGGAGATTTGTACAGGGTAAAAGGGATCTTGAAGAAGGAAGGCTATCACTCCATTTTGCAATGCCATGCCATAACCTGTGGACAGCGCTTGATTGGAGCCAATTTCCTCCTACAACAGGACAATGACCCAAAGCACAGCTCCAAACTATGCAAGAACTATTTAGGGAAGAAGCAGTCAGCTGGTATTCTGTCTATAATGGAGTGGCCAGCACAGTCACCGGATCTCAACCCTATTGAGCTGTTGTGGGAGCAGCTTGACCATATGATACGTAAGAAGTGCCCATCAAGCCAATCCAACTTGTGGGAGGTGCTTCAGGAAGCATGGGGTGAAATCTCTTCAGATTACCTCAACAAATTGACAACTAGAATGTCAAAGGTCTGCAAGGCTGTAATTGCTGCAAATGGAGGATTCTTTGACGAAAGCGAAGTTTGAAGGACACAATTATTATTTCAATTAAAAATCATTATTTCTAACCTTGTCAATGACTACATTTCCTATGCATTTTGCTGTATTTCCTATTCAAACTAATTTCATGTATGTTTTCATGGAAAACAAGGACATTTCTAAGTGACCCCAAACTTTTGAACGGTAGTGTATATATAACGAATTTTGACTTTTGTGACTGTGCTATTTAGAGGAAACCCTGTTCAAGTGAGATGCCTTAACATTTGGCAATTTTTAAAGATTTGGCCAACAGTCCTACTACTGATCTTCATGTTTGTAGCCTATCCCTATATAAATGGTATGCATTTTCTATATGTACTGGAGTAAAATACAGACCATATAAAACTTTTTTTGTTTGCAAAAGCCAATGTTGGACTTTTATCCTTTTTACTCAATTCCTCCCATTGCTCCCATCACTGTGCTCTTATTCACTTATTCTGTTCATACTGGCAGTGAAAATGAATTTTTCTAGCACAAAACTGTGAGTTCCTTAAAGGCATCCTATTAGGGGAAACTACCTCCAACCCAAAGTGTGATGCACGAGGACCATGCAACCTGAGATTGAGCTCATGAGACCAGCAAGCTGGTGACCAGAGTGAATAGTGGTTAAGATGACTAGCTACTCCATTATTATTAAATTGAGTAGCAAGGCCTTCTGCAGTGGCCACACTCAATGGAAGTATTTTAGATGGGGGATGTGGTATGGCAATGTCATGTCATTGCATTGGGGAGATAGCTCCTCTATATACCTGGCATCTCACACTGCCACATGGGTCAGTGCAGTGTGTGCTACTTGTCATTCTTAGCTGCTGCTGCTTTTCAATTACTTTTTGTTGCCTGTGCTATAATATCAGTCAGCACAAAAAGCACTCAAAATGGGCTTTGTCCTGTCCACCTCCTCAAATGGATTTTGAATGAGAAATGAAATGCAGACTAAAG